AGATAATCAAGATAATGTACATACATCATCCCCCAAAGTTTGTTCATGCCCCTTTATAATCTCCCCTTCCCATCACCCTGTTTCCCCAGGTAAATACTTACCTGATTTCTGTCACTATAACTTAAGCTTGCATTTTCTAGAATTTCATATAAATGTAACCACACAGTATGTACTTTTTTTGCCTGGCTATATTCATTCAGCATAAACAACACCTATCAAGATTATTGCATGTATCAATAGTTCCTTCCTTTTTTATTGAGTAGTATTTCATTGTATGGACAGTTTGCTTATCCATTCACCTATTTATGGACATTTGGGATATTTCCAGTCTGGGCATATTACAAAGTTGATATGAACATCTGTGTACAAGTCTTTGTGTGGACATATGTTTTCTTTTCTCTTCGGTAAACACCTAGGAGTGAAATGGCTGACTGGTAAAGCAGGTGCATGCATAACTTTTAAAGAAACTACCAAACTGTTTCCCAGAGTGGTTATACAATTCTACATTCCCATCAGCAGTATAGGAGAGTTCCCATTGCACCACATTCTTGCCCAAACTTGGTATAGTCAATGTACAGAGCGTGTAGTGGTATCTTATCATTGTTGTTTTGGCAGTACAGGGATCAAACCCTGGACCACCTTATCATTATTTTAATAAGTATTTCCCTAATTATGTTGAGCAGCTTTTCATGTGCTTATTTGCCATCCCTATATTTTCTTCAGTTAAGTATCAGTTCAAGTAGGGAAAAAAAAAAAAAGCTCATTTTTAAATTGGGTTGTTTGGCTTGTTATTGAATTTTATGAGTTTTTTAAAAAAAATCTAAATACAAGTCCTTTTATCAGATATATATTTTTTAAGTAAGTTCTCAAGTCTGTCTTGCCTTTTTAGTTTGTCTTTTAGAGCCTAAATTTTAAATTTTGATGAGTCCAGTTTATAAATTATTTCTTTTGTAACTTGTTAAGAAATCTTCGCCAATTCCAAGACCTCAAATTTTCTCCTGTTTTCTTTCTTGAAGTTTTGTAAGTTTCTGCTCTTAATTTTCATCTACAATTCATTTTGGGTTACTTTTCGTATATGATGTAAGTTTTCCGTGTGTCATTTGTTAGATACTCTTTTGTCCTAAAAAAAAGTGCCTGGGAATCTTTTTCCAAAAATCTATTGACCCCATTTCTGGACTCTCCATCCTGTTCTACTGTACATCTATCTTTATTCCAATACATTATAATTCAAGCCATCATCCTTTGTCTGGATTACCAGAAAAGCCTGTTTTTATCTTCCCCTCCAGCTCTATGACCCTTCCAATCCACTCTCCAGACCATAGCCAAGGTAATTTTTCTAAAGTGCAAATCCAATTCCATCAGTTCCTCTGCCCATGAAATCAAGTCAAACTCTATAAGCTGGTCTTTCATGTTGTAGCTCCAGCTTTACCTCTGGGCTGTTTTTTACTACTCCCTCATCCAAATTCAATGCTCCCAACACACTGCTCTCTCTCACCCCTGGGCCTTTGCACTTACTGTGTTTTGTCTCAGATGCCTTCAATCTCATTCTCCCACGTTTGTCTGGCAGATCCTCGTGCCTCAGCTCATCACTTCCCTTGGAATTCTTTCTTGGACTCCTTAGTGTTGATTGCTCCTACCTTGATGCTCACCCACCTCTCTGATTACACCATCACACCAAGTGTCAAACCGCCTGTGTGTCTTCCTTGCCAGACTGTAGTTCCTTGGGACCCAGCAGGCACTCAATATTTGAATCAGTAAACAAGACAGGTTCTTGTTCTTCAGAAGCTCCCGAGTTGTGGCAGAACGATCAGTAAATTACATCAGATCCTGTCACTCCTCACCCAGACCCCCAAACTCCTCCAATGCTTGCTAGGTCTGTTTACATTGTTTTTTTTTAATTGGTTATGAATATTCATGAGATACAGAGCTGGTTGTCACCCCCCCCCACCCCGTGTCCAAGACGTGAAAGCCAGGCTCACACTGGCAGCTTGCCCATTTCCACAAATTGCGTTTGTACCCTGCGTCCCCCTCCCCCTCCCATTCCACTTTGTATCCTAAGGTACGTTCTTTCCCTCTGCAAGTCCAACGCACCACTGTGCGTCTCTTTCCTTTCCTTTCTTTCCTTCCTTCTTTCTCTCTTAGCTCCCACTTATGAGTATGTGTGTTATTTATCCCTCTGCACTTTGCTTATTTCACTCAATATAAGTTTCTCCAGGCTCATCCATGCTGGTTTTTAATCGTTATTTCCTAGAATGTGGTAACAGTGCTAGTTACTGTATTAAAATAAAATCGCTTGTAGAAATAATTGGAAGCCTAGGAAGAAAGCAGTTTCCTCCAGAGAGAATTTTCACTAGTTTCTGCACATTGCTTCCTGAGGACACTGCCAAGTTCAAGGCCTGACATTTCCTTAACCACTGAATGCACAAGTCTGAATAAGGGCTGGTTTACTCAGCTGACCTTTACTATGAGGGTATAACCCTACTGAGTTCTAGCTTTTAAAACATTTTTTGATGGGCGGGATGTTGGGGTAGGGTTCAGACTCATTTTGGGCCTATCCTGGGCTTTGTTTCCTGGGCAACTTTCCCCATGATACTGCCCACACAGTGGCTCAGTTTCATAGTGATCTCTTCCCAATTCATAAATGCTCTGAGGACAAAGGCAACTCCTGAGTGCTGGGCTCATCTCTCTGGTAGTGGGAACTTGAATGACCAAACAACCTCAATCTTACCCTGACTCACAAATACCTACACCATCTGGCCCCTGACCTTCATCTCAAGTTACCCTGCTTCTGTTGGTTCCCTCTGAACCAGACAGTCTTCTATGCTAATCTTCATACAAGCTCCTTTCCTAGGGCTTTCGTACTTCTGAACTTTTTTCCTGCCTGGAACTCATCTATAAAGTTTACAATTTTCAAGTCATGATAGTACTTCTTGCAAACAACTTGATTCTGTGATAATCAGAAACTGCCACTTCTCTGAACCTCTTAGGGCTCATCTATGTATCTCCCTTATTACACAGGCCCTTTGAAAATATATGCTTTCTCTTATCTGACATTCTTATTGCCATATGAGAGGTACTCAAAAAGTATCTGCTTAATGTCTGTTTTTAACCTTTATGAACATCAGGTTCACCTTTATGGTCTTAAGAGCTCCTCAGATGTATTAAATTTAAAAATTGTATTTCTAATTTGTGAATACATTCAAGACAAGCAAATTGCCTCAGAGGCAAGGTAAGGATATGAGAAACACCTACCAAAAAAGGCAAAAACTAATGGAAGAATGATTAAAAGATTTATTTAAAAGTAATTTTTCTAAACTCTCTAGGACAGGAAGGGTAGGACGTTCTGCTATAACATTTCACTCAGATGGTAGTTCAGATATGTTTCAAAATAGCTAGCACCTAAATAACGTTTCTTTGAAAAAGCTAGGATAAAAATACAAGTACAATCAAGTTAATTCAACACACATTTATCAAAAGCCTATTTGCTAGGTACTTTGTGCTATGTGCTGGGGACACAAACACAATTGTGATGCTGTCCCTCTTGTTAAAGAATTCAGGATTTTTGGATCCCCTTACCTGCCAGCTGCCAAAAATAAAATAAAGAATTCAGGATAGATGACTGGTAGGGGTGTGGATGGAAGAAGAGACAAAGAGGACCTTTTAAACTACATTTGAACAGATCTTTCAGGTAGAATAAGATGAACATTCTAGGAACAGGGAAGAACATCAGCAAAGTAGAGTTTTGTATTGTGACTATTTACAAAACAGTTTGCGGATGGCTGAAGAGCAGCCTGGAAACACCAGAACGAGGTAGTGTAAAGCCATAATGGCAAGGGTACTGCAGAGAAGGGAGAAATTTGTGAGAGGTCTTAAAGACAGACTTAACAGGACTTGAAAAATGTAAGCAGGAGAGGACTAATAAAAAGCACCAGATTCTTTGTTTGGATAACTCAACTATACTGGGTAGGAATGCCGTTAAATTATGGCAGGAAAGATAATATGCTTTCATTGGGATAAGAGTGTAGACAGATTAAAAAAAATGTTTAATGCTGAATTGGGTGTCTGTAGGATATAGCTATCCTGGTCAGCCATTCTTGCCTGATAGTACACATTCACTCTCCTTACATCAGTGAAGGCCAGGTACAGACATGCTATGTTATTTTCTACCTTAGTTTATTTCAACTTCTCTTATTAAAGTATTTCCATACTCCACTGAACTGCAAAGGGCACAAAGATATTCCCACTTACGTATTTTGTATTAATCAAGGAAACATTTAAAAAAATCCTAATTAAAAAAAAATTGAGATGGGCTCCCAATGGGATATTCAGCTCACGTTTAATTTTGTCATGTGTCATGATAGAAAAGTACTAAGGAATAAACAGAATCATTCATCCACAATAGCTTAAATTAGTGGAGGCAAATCATATCTATTATGAGAGGTAGAAATTATTTTAAGTATTATAATAAAGGAAAATGAATCTTGCATTTATCTAACCAACTACTAATCTAGTTGTTTAGGGCTGCAGAAATAGCTTGTTGAGATATAATAGTTTTTATAGTAGTATAAAAATTTTATGGTGGTATAAAAGGTCCCAATGAAAACTAAGGCGCTCCTGGAGCAAGGAGATTCCTTGTGGAAAAGGAAACAGGCTGTTGGCAGAGCATATTTCATTTTTTCCTGCCAGGGAAAACAGATGCAGAGATATTCCCTTCTGTTTATTTCTTTCTCTCTTCTTGTAGCTCCAAGAGGCACTCATTTAAGGAAATTAGCTGATTTGTTTGTATGCTCAGAAAAGCATCCAGAAGTTCCTTACAGTATGTCCTTATTAATCATATAATATTAAGCTGAGCAACACTGGACTCATGATAATTCTAAGCAAATACTGGGTCTCAATTTCCATCTTCTCTGAAAATGCCCATCTTTTAATCAGGACTCATTTAATTAAAGCATAAATAACCAGTAAAATAAACTACTATATTATTAAGTTAGGATGATCTGTTAAATAAAAAGTGGCTTTAGTGACTCTTTATTTTGCTGTATTCATTTTGTAAATGAACATGTTACTGTTTCCACAATCCTTTAAAGATCACAGTCTTTTGTAAAGAGAAACTACTATACAAATAGTTTTACATTATTATAAAGTACAAAGAGGTCTAGTATCTATCCAATTTAGTATTCAAGTCTGCAGGAAAAAAACAAATGACAGCTCTTTATTATTAAGTTACTGAATTCCATAAAGCACATGAAGTAATCTATATTCAACTAACAAACATTTGATACATGTATTTAAAAATATATAACACAGATTTGTCTGTCTTAACATTTATGTTCTATTGAAAAAGTAGCTTTACATATTTTGCAACTTGAACTTATAAAATATATACATCCACCCTATTCAAATCCTCAAGCATGAGCTTCCATTCCTATTAATAAAATGCACAATCTATATTTCTGAATATTGAGAGAAAAATGGTACCAACTAAAATGAACAAATTTATTTTGACCTGAACATGCACTTGATTCTTGGCTACTAGGTATCCAAGAATCCAATAATCCACTCAAATAATTATTTCACTTTGAGGCCGACAGTCAATTTGCATTTATATAAACAATCTGTGGTTAACTATAGAGACTTACATTTTCATGGTATCTGAAAAACCTAACAAGTTCCTTACTAGTCCTATTCCAAGCTTTAAAAGAGAGGCAGGATTATTCAATCTCTCCATATACCAGGAAATCTGACGGGCAATGTCTCACTTAAGTCAAAGCCCAGTAAGTTTTGAAATCATGCTTTTTACCTTTGATAAAACAGCATAGAATTATCATATGATCAACCTTTTATTAAAACCCAGGCAGCATATGTGCCAAGAAATAGAACAAGAACTCGATCTATTTTTCCCAGTCAACTCTTCACTCAACATGTAAAACAGAGACTGGCCAGTTAGCTCAACTTGGTTAGAGCATGGTGCTGATAACACCCAGGTCAAGGGTTCGGATCCCTGTACTGGCCAGCCACTAAAACAAAGCAAAACAAAAAAACATAAAACTGCAGTTCTTGAGGTATGTTCAGACTAACTTCTATTCAGGCATTCTTTCCACATACTAGCTCCAAATATATTTTAGCAACAAAAATTATCTCATAAAAAAAGGTTAAGTCATGTAATCATCTGGAGACTCATCACCCAATACAAGTCTCATATACTGACATCTAAGAATTAAAATTACAATTAACAACTCACTTACCAGAATCATAGTCAGAACCATAACTTCAATTTTCAGGATACAGAGCTAAGCTTGAAGTACATGTTTAGATGTGCTTCTAATGATAGTAATGTATATAAGCCTGTTTTTAAATTAATGTACCATTTAAGAAAGCAAGTCTCCCAAAAATTATTTAAAAAAAAAAAAATTCCACATCTAAAAATAGCTTAGAAATTCAAATCAAAGCACAAATAATTTGACTCATTTGGGCAATAATTAGGCTTTGAGATAGTCCCTGCACAAAAAGTAAACAAACAAAATTCACTTGTTATTAGTATCGAAGTAATGAGCTAACAACACATTTATCAAATAGTCAATTATTCAACAAATTTAACCGCCTACTGATAAACTGAAATTATGTATGAGAAATTCCATGTATTTTAATTTGTAGGAGAGTCTTTTTAAATTTTAAAAAATTTTCTGAGGAAATTTTAATAATCTTCCTTCTCTGGATTCAACTAACTGGAAGGAAGAAAGGAAGGAGGGGAGGGGGGGAGGAGGGAATGAGGATAATTTAGAAGTCAGAATAGGAAACTGCTGAAGACTGATACATTGGACATCTGTAGGAGAGAAAGGAAGGAAGGAAGAAAAGTAAAAGAGATCCAAAAAAGAAAAAAAGAACGGCAAAGAGAACTGGGACCAAATGGTACAGATTAAAAGACCCCTTCTTGACAGATCTCAATCATGCAAAGGCATTAAAGGCATTAGTGTAACACAGAACAGTGCAGTAGCTGATTTTGATAATGAATCCTAAGAAAAATATGCTTAAGCCTCAGTTACCTTTGAAAACCAATTGACATACACAATTATACATAATTATGAATTTTAAGCATTCAGCTTAAATATGTACAAAAGTTAATAAAAGTGAGATTGAGAAATATAAGCAGCAGTAACCATAAAGGCTTAGTACTAGTGACACTGAATTCTTTATTTAAAAAAATTCTGAACACAAAGTACCTCCTCTTCTATTTTTAGGAAGAAGTTTTAACAAGTTTTAAATATTTTAATTCTCAAAAAGATTTTTAAAAAATTAGATTTGATTACCAGAAACAAGTAATATGTAGTTACATATCATTTTCATCTTTACTCATTTCCATTATTTGTCAATTCATCTTTGATGCAATCTGGGAACAATTAAGCAGTCACTGGATACCTGTTTTAGAATCTGAAGAAACTATTACCCACCACAGAAATCTAATGATATATATTTGCATATATTTAAAATTTTAGAAGGGAATAAGTAATAAACTATTCTAGTTACTTTATACCAAATATTTAGATACCTACTCAAAACAATAAGGATTAAGAACTTTCTCCAGTTGAACTGTTGACTATATAAAAGCTGTTTTCAGCACTTTCTTCTGAGGATTAAAATTGCTTTATTTCCCTGCTGGCTAAAAGAAGGAATTACACATTACAAGTAAGTCCTTTATAAGTAAATATTAATTCCTTAAGAGAACAGCCATAAAAATGTATTTATAAAATTTCTCTTAAAAACTGAAAACAACCTTTCTCTTTAAAACCTATGGCATTAATCTCTACAAAAAAAATTTTTGAAAGGGTATCAGGTTCATGATCTAAGCATGCATAAATAAGGAACTGAATGTCTTAACAGAATTTGGCAAACCAGAAGAATGGCCTAAAATAAATAAATAAATAAATAAAAAAGAAGAGAGTACATATCTTCTAAGTATGAATGTATAATTCTGTACGCCTATGCAGCAAATAGTGCTCCATGGAGGGAATGCAGGGAAGAGGAAAGTAGCATGTTCCTATGTACATTTTCTTGGTATTCTGGTTGTCTTTCAACAACAGAGAAATATTCTTTTTATTATTACAAAGCCATTAATTGCCCTCTGTAGAGCAATCTCAAAAAAAACCTTTTAATAACGTAACTTACATATAAAATTAATTTAATAATTAAATCTAAGTGCAAAGGAGTCTTCAATGATTCCTAAATTCAAGGGAGTAATGTTAATATAATCACAAACTTTGATTGGTGCTCCTATATTTCAGGATATTTCATCTTTTCTTCTAAGTGATAAATTGTACCAAAATTATTTGGTTTTCCTCTATTTTCCTCACTTCATTTTATTTTATGATATCTATGTGTAGAGAGAGGTATGCTAAGATCCTATTATTAAAAACTCAATTGAGGCTATCTATGACCTATTAATCTATAGTATAGTGTTGTTAATCTTTGACCTGGTATATTAATTCCTTTGGTGAATAAATGTCACAGGTCATTTCTTCATAAAAGGATTTTAGTAAGAGAACCTGCAATATGGAGAGAGATTATTTCTTCCCCGGCCCCACAAACAAAAGATAACGTCAATCACTAGTTTAGAGCAGTTATGTAAAATATGAAAATACATAATTTACAGCTGCAATTTTCATACTAAAAGCAGTTAAAAACTAAGAGTAACTCAAAGATTTTCTGTTTTGGTTAAACATGTCAACTAATAAAACTGATAGAGATCACTGTGAGAACTTAGTATACCTAGTTAAGACAGAACAAAAATGTTCATAATTTTTAGAAAGTGGTAGTTGCTAACTAGCAGTATAAATAATGTTCAAAATTTTGTGGCTGGCCATGGTTTTAATTTTTTTCAAGTTATTTCTATAGCAGACATATTTTTGACGTCTACCCACCCCTGAGTTCAGCGATTATACTTTTAGAGTGTAAAATTATATGCCCTTAATAACAACACGTACAAAGCTACAAAATGTCATCTATACAGAGATTAAAAACGATTTTTTAAATATTCTTTACCAATTATTGATTGGATGGTTTTATTGGGGTACATATTTCAAACCTTTCAGCCAACTGGCTTTTAAAGCCTAAATTGATTCATATATTCACTGAAGGATATTTCAAAAAGAGTGCAACAATAAGGCATTAGTAAAAATAACACTGTAGTAGAAACAGATTTTGCATATGTGAAAAGGTAATTTATAAAATACATTAATCACTTTTTAAAAAGAGAACCTACTTGTAGTATCATTAACTTACGTGGTACTGAGAATTGGACCTTTCAACAATTTTTTTTCCTATAGAAAAATTTCATCTAGCTGTTAAGCAAAGTCTTTTCAACAAGAAAGCAAAACAAAACAACCCCTCCAGGAAAAACTGTGGTTGTATGAGACAAATAAGCAAACATACCATTTTATAGTGTACTTCTGCCTAAATTTTAAAATAAAAATGTCCACACTCTTTTGTTAAAACATTAAGCCTCTGTCAAAAATGTATTTCTTATTTTATGGTACAGGATTGAAGAACAAGATGATACTTACAAGTAAAGAAAATTTACAAGAAAAGACGAGAGAAGTTTTTCAATTAAAGTAACATTCAAACTTGACTTAAACATAACAGAAACAAGATTGCAAACAAAAATGTTTATGGATTTTCCAAACATAAATAAATGAAAGTGTGTAGGCAGTAGGGCTCATGCTGATGGCTAGTAGGAAGTAACAGAGTGTAATCTACTTGGAAAAAATCTTTAATGTACAAATAACAAACCCAAGTTATGGACTGCAGCAATTTAATCATCACTGCCATTTTTCTTACTCCCAAAATAAAGCCTTGATTAAACCATTCATACTCTATATTACTCATACTTTTACTTCAGATTGAGAAACTATATACAACAAATGAATTTATTTTCACCATAGGGATAAACATATTGTACCTCTCTGCCAATGTTACTTGAAAACCTTCCATGTCAAAACAATTTGACAGCAGATATAAACAATTAAATAAATACGCAATGATCTTTCATTACAGTCCTTTAAAGATGCATGTTAATTCATGCTATTAACCTTAGGATCACAGTGCATAGAATCCAAATATTAACAGTTGGGGTGAGTTTCAAAGTAATGTTGGATCCCTCGCTTTATTTATAATCCCACTATAACTGATAAGTTCATTTCATAGGCCCTATCATGCATTAATCATTGAGTGGCAGGAGTTAATGAAAATTTTTCTTGTTACAACGTCCATTGCCGGCAATGAACGTCCCAAAACCGCCAAGGAAGTCATTGTTATTGCACAATACGTGAGGACCTGGAATATTTTCCAAAAGCTTAAAAAAATAAAAATAAAAAATGGAATTATATTTGACATTTCCCGACACCTGCATTAATACTGTATGACTAATAAAAGCATGTCAGTTGCTTGGACTGAACCAGCGATCAACATGCGCCCAGAATGCACACGAGTAAAAATGCGGTAAAAGGAAGTAGTCTTCATTGCCTATAGGTCACTTCCAGTCAAAGGTTAAAGTTCAAAGACTGAATGATCAAAGTGCTCATTTTCTCAGTAGGACTATCTTCTGTTAGGAGGACGATAACAGTGGCATCAACAAGTATCATCTTTAAGAAAAGGAGAAAAAAGATAATTAAAAAAGTCAAGCATGTGTAAGTAAGATCTACAAGTTAGTCTAATGTGGAAATAATTTCAAGTAGCAAGAAGAACACAGTTTACTTGACTTACCTCCTCTAATCTCTGCAAAATAAAAAGAGCAATTTGTGTTCAATTACACAAGACTACTTCAAAAAGCTCGTGAAAAATAGAATCAAAAGACTATGAATCTTTCCATGAAGTACCCTCATATAGTGACAAACAGATCAAGTTTTATTCTTTTAGGGAAATGGTAGTTCATATAAACAAACCTTAAAAGTGATACATTATTAGCATATTAGTTCTGTTTAAAATAACAGGTTGATATGTTATGTCAGCACCTATTTAGGATGTACTACTAATCTTAAGAGAGTTCTTTTATGGGCAACAATTTTAAATTTTAATGAGACAGAAAGTAAATTCTTGATCAACATCACTATACTATTTAACACAGAATACAGGTTATGTCTTTAGACCATGAAGGATGCAACTCTTCTTCACCAATAATGCAATCTCCAAATCAAACAATATGTAGTTAATGTTATTAATTTTCCTTTAGAAAACAAGTTTTCAGCAAAACACGCAAGGGGGGTCATTAAAAAAAAAATCCCACACAATTACTTAGTAATACCTGCTGGTAGCCCCAGAACATTATATTAATGTAACACAGGCAACTTTTGGGGTTCATGACTCATTTTACAAAATTACTTTCACAAAACCTATCTGAAGGTTATATTTTGAGGACTGGTTGTTATTCAGAAAGAAGCTTCAGAAAGAAACAAGACTGGTGGCAACTACCCAAGAGTTGTAAAAGCACTCAAGGAGAAAATTCTGGCCAAAATATTTTTACAAACTATCCCATGTTAGGATTGACATGTTGCTAATAAAATTCCCATTCATAAAGACTTAATGAAGAGGCTGGCCAGTTAGCTCAGTGGGTTAGAGCACGGTCTTATAAACACTAAGGTCAAGGGTTTGGATCCCTATACCAGCCAGCCACCCCCCCCCCCCAAAAAAAGACTCGATCAAAACTAAAAACCAGGGCCAGCCCGGTGGCTCACTGCTACAGTGCGCCGCTTGGGAGTGCGGCGGCACTCCCGCCAAGAGTTCGGATCCCACATACAGACTGGTTCCCGCTCACTGACTGAGCGAGGTGCGTGTGCGACACTGAGGGTTGCGATCCCGTTGCCGGTCCCGGTCTGGTACGGGCGCGACACTGAGGGTTGCGACCCGTTGCCGGACACGAAAAAAGACAAAAAGGAAAAAAAAAAAACAACTAAAAACCAGTAAAATCTGACTTCTATGCTGGGCAAAGACATGGAGTATACCATGATTCTATAATTTAAGGGAAATCTAAATACTAGATTTCAAAATTAAATCATATATCATTCATTAGAATCTTTTAAATAAATAAATAAGAAGATCTTTAAGGAAAAAAATAAGTGGAAAGTTTATATTCTCTAAGTTTGATATAAAAGTATCTGTTTCTTAAATTACTGTGGAACTTGAATAGAGAAGATATATTTGTTATGAATATAGAAAAACTTAGGAATATGAAGAAGTTCCTTAAAACATCACCAGTAGAGTATTTTATAACACTAGGGTCTCTGAAATTAATACAAAAACTAATTATACTTAAATCTCTAAGCTAAATGATGGCACTGAATTCTACCTAATATGTCAAACTACTAGGGATAAACTTTTGGATGATACCAGAAGACAATGTAAGAAAAGTGACAGATAAAATTCAATTTAAACATAATGTTATCTAGTTAACCACCAATAAGACTGTATCTCCAAAGGCATACCATCTTTGAAAGGTGGTAGCATAAATGTATCTTCGTTTATTAGACTGTTCATTCTGGAAGGTTTTCAGTACAGTGGGCTTCTTCTGTAGGATGTGCTACCAAAATGATTACGAAATCCTTGTGGAGCTGTTCTCCATATCCCAATTCCCATCTTGGGTAGATGTGAAAAGAAATTTAGGACTGATAACGATACTGCCTGCCTTGAATTCCCTAGTTTTGAAGAAACAAACTTAAGTTCTGAAGATGGGAGTTCAATAATCTCTGACAGGTGGATCCAAAGGAACTTGAAAGATTACAAATTCATGATGGCTATACATAATCAAGACTCTATAAGCAAACTCTAAACAGTTCTATAAAAAGGTGGCAAAAGAACATAATATATTTAACCTCTTGGCTAAAATACTTGTGGCAAAATAATGGCTTTAAAAACAAAATCCCATATTAACCATTTAAACTTTTTCTGAAACTGCAGAAGCCCCTACAAAAATTATACTCTCAAATATTGTCGGGCCTTAAAAAAACCAACGCCACCTTAATTGACATTACAAGCAGCACCATTATGGGCCCACAAGGGCGTATTAACGTGGCAGCCTAAGACAGCGCCGGGAGGAAGGAGGGTGGGGGTGTCTGCGGGAACCTTGCCTAAGCCCTTATTGGCCAAATACGTGCTTCTGTGCTCGTGAAAGGCATTGAGACAGAATGCATGCCCTTGACCTTTAAGCTGAATGTTAAAACCTCCCCTCCCTATCTGCCTATAAAAACAAGTGCTTGTGTGATAATAAATGGAACTGCCTTGACAGAACCCCCGCCGCGTCTGAGTGTCCTTTAACTGGGCTGGGGGGCCGGCGGTGTGCTCACCTCTCTTCAGGGCTCTCTTCCCCCATCTCCTTCCAAAGGGGACTGGAGGGAAAGAGTAATCCGGGCCTGTTCGCTCGCTCACCAGAAGGAACGAGGCTAGTGCTGTACGGGTCGGCCGCCAGCTGCGGACCCGACAAAATATAATACACAAGTCACCAGTTTCAAAGAGGAGATACCTACCATGGCTAACTTCACTGGGCTTCGAGGAAATGTGAATAAGCGAGAACTATATTAGAAGAAGGTGATTTAGTTTTCCTCAAAGTATAAAAACCATATTATACTGGAAACCCATCTCCCTGGATATTCTCAGGGACAGAAGAAAAGGAACATAGTAACATAGGTCATTGGGATGTTATCTCCAAAAAAGACAAAATATTTACAGTTAGGTTTTGTCTCTCAACAGTTTAGGGAATTAAAGTTTTCCTTTGATGAACCAATTCAAGAAAGATTTCAGAGTAAACAGAAAATAGAATTGCTATCCATTAGGCAAAAGAGGGCACCAATTGCTAAACTGAGCAAAAGTTTGAACTAAGGAATTCAGTAAGTGGTTTTCACAACTTACTAAACATAAAGGTTCACAACTAATGTAGGTAAATCTATGAATACCAGCTATAAGGCAGGAAGAAAAGGAGTTTGATATGCTGAGAAAATTTTATGTTCCTGTCCTCTTATAATCTTTACTACAGGAATGTTTCAGCTGAACAGAACCAGAATGTAGTCTCATTTTTTGAAAAAAGACATTCCTCTCCTTCTCCCCAAATTATAGATTCAGTTTGTTGGATATGCCCTCTAAATAATATGCCACTTTATTTCCTATAAGTCTAGGTTTCTGAAGCCTTCAGCTATAGCTTATAATTGAGCATTGTTCAATATTCTAGTAATTTAAGGAGAATGCTACAAGAACCACAGATCTGCACACCCCTCCGTGAAAAGCATTTATGAAACTAAGTTGTATATGTTTAATATTGACCCCAGCAAACAAATGGATCACATTAATAATGGATTCTAGTTGGCTACCTCATTGAAAAATTTTTATGATCTAATAAAAAGATACTTTGCATCTTTTTCAAGAACTATTATGTCTGTTTTATGGTAGAGAACTTTAAGGTTTCTCAATCATTTATTCATTTATCCATTAAACTGGATGCAGATATGTTTTCTAAGGAAGATTCTAGCCCAGAACCACAGATAAATTCCTTAGCCCATCTGTATGTGGAGATAACCTGTCTATTTCACATATCTGTTTTTTTAATCCTATTCTCTGATCAGTTGATTTTTCAAAGCATATGGATCTGTGCCTTAACTGGCAACACAGTATATCTGCATTCTAAAGCAGATATGACCTTAATTCCTTAGTGAATAGAAACTATAAAATAGAAACTGGAAAACAAACTGATAGTCAACTTCAAGTAGGTAACAATAAGTAATGTGTCTTCACATATCAATACAACTTTTTATATCCAAAGACTTTTCACACTTTCATCATTTTGTGCTGAAAAAGAACCTCAAAAGAAATCAACATAAGGGTGATGTATACAGACAGTAAAAGTAGGGTAGGAGTAATTGGTCTAATTCTCAAGGAATACTAATAATGTGGAAGATCACAAATTTAAGTTAAAATAGGTTTCTTTCACGAACCTAACACTGGAAAAAGCCTGCTCAGCTTTTGTATGTCAGCTGAGTCCTTCCCTTATAAAACCAGGAGATGAAGTGAATTTCAGATTTCTGGTTTTTCATTAATAGTGTCTCTATCCAGTGTCTCTATCCCAGGAAGTCCCTTTTTAAGTACATATTATCACTAATCTAAACCAAAACATCTCTTGCCTAATTGCTTACACCTGACAAGCTGACCCACCTTGACCCACGAGAGAACTGCGGAGCTTGATATCTGAAGCATTCGATTCCACTGCTTTCTAGAAACTGAAATGCTGAGAGTTTCAGTAAGTTTATCTATTCCAAGTAAGCCTTTGTTCAGTCTCTGATCTTTCTGCTTAGCTTTGTAGGTCATATAAGTAAATTGGTCTGTCCGTCTAATCTTTTTATTTATTTATTTATTTATTTATTTATTTATTTTTTATTTTGTCAATATACACTGTATATGATTATTATGGCCCGTCACCGACACCTCCCTCCCTCCTCCCTCTCTCCCCTCCCCCCCAAGAATGTCCTTTCCGTTTGCTTGTTG